TAGTTACGCTCACTTTTAATTATTCTGCATCATTTGACTCACATGGCTCACTAAAGACCCAGTTTGACTCATCTCATTCATCATCTTGTTTCATTTCTACCATTCAACCTCTTTTTAGACCCAATTCCGCCAACTCCACCAACCCACCAACCTGCCAACTCACGACCCGCCAACCCACCGATCCGCCATTCCACCGATTCATTAACCCACAACTCACCAACTCAATAATAGACCTACCTTTTAAAGTTGTTACTCAGTGAGATTTCCACTAGTCAGCTAGCTGGGCGACACTACCGGTGTTTCCTTCTGAATGATCTACCACCCACTATCGGCACAAACCACCACCACCTACCATCACCATTAAATCCATACAGTTCAACATTACACCACCTCACTACCACCACTACCACACTACCCCTCACACCTGACCCTCTACCCAGGTTATAACACCAGCACGAGTAATTAGCATCCCCTGTAGGGTTAGGTTAGTATGATAGGTAAGACACAATAGAATACAAAGCAATGATAGATGATAACACACGGTGTTAGGACCATGGATAAATAGATGATACGGGGTTAGGATACAGGATAAATAGATGACACAATGTTAGAGTATGCAGATAGTCAGGTAATGATAGATGATAATAACGGGGAAGAGATGCATGACATAAGGATAGATGATACACACGGGGCTACCATACATGGATAGTCAGGTAATGATAGATGATACACACGTCTAGGATACATGATAGTCAGTAATGATAGATGATACACACGTGGGCCAAAAATACAAGGCTTAGGATATACCAGATGTATATTCATTAAATCGAAGAAGTGGCTCTCTAACCTCTTCACCTCTCCAATCCCTCTCCTCACATCACCTCATCACCTCTCACCCTCTCACCTGACCTGACGCACAGACATTGTGATGTCTGGGAGAGGGGGAGGTAGACGCCCTGGAGTCAGGAAGGGGAATGCTTAGAGAGATGGGGGGAGAGGAGAGGGGGAGAAAAAAAAAAAAAAAGGGGCTTGCTAAGGAAATAGATAGGTAGGAGGAGAGGAGGGAGGGAGGAAGGGGTAAAAGGTGAGGTGTGGTCGTGTTGGGGGGAGGGGGGGAGGAGAGGAGAGAGGGGAGAGGGGCTTGTTGAAAGAAAATAGATAGGTAGGAGGTAGGAGGAGGAGGGGAGGGTAAAAGGAGGTGGCTGCCTGGGGGAGGTGGGGGTGGAGGGAGGTAAGGCTGAGGGCACTGGTGAGAGAGGAAGAGATGAGAGGAGGTATTGAGAGTCCTTAGGGGAGGGAGGGAGGTGAGGGAAAATTGGGAGAGGGAGTCGAGAGGAGGGATTCTGTGAGGACAGTAAGAGAGGTAGATGAGGGCAGAGGGAGGGGACTGGAGTGACAGCGAGAGGCAGAGGAGGGTGAGAGGTGAGGGATTCCTGGTGAGGAAGCAAGGAGAGGTGAGTGGGGAGGGGAGGGATCTCTGAGAGTGAGAGGTGAGGAGGTGAGGTGAGACAGTAAGTGAGAGGCAGGAGAGATAGAGCTGAGGATTCTGTGAGAGACAGTAAGGAGAGAGAGGTGAGAGGAGGGTGAGAGGTGAGGATTCCCAGAGGGACAGAAGTGAGAGGTGAGGAGGGGTGAGAGGAGGGATCTGGTGAGGACAGCAAGTGAGAGGTGAGGAGGAAGAGAGGTGAGGGATTCTGGTGAGGGCAGTAAGTAGAGGGGAGGAGGATGAGAGGAGGGATTCTGTGGAGGGACAGTAAGGAGAGGGAGGAGGATGAGAGGTGAGGGATTCTGGTGAGGGACGGTGAGAGGTGAGGAGGGGTGAGAGGGATTCTGGTGAGGGGACGGTGAGAGGAGAGGAGGGTGAGAGGAAGAGGATTCTGGGTGAGGGACGGTGAGAGGAGGAGGAGGTGATCTAGTGAGGGACGGGGAGAGGAGGAGGGTGAGAGGTGAGGGATTCTGTGAGGGACAGTAAGTGAGAGTAGAGGGAGGGGTAAGAGGTGTTTTTAGAGCCTGGAGGACATTAAATTCTGAGGGACTTTTAGAGGGGTAGAGAGTCATGGAGGAAGCGAAGGAGGGGGGAGGGAGAGAAAGAGAGAGAGAGAGAGAGAAGAGGAAGCAAAGAAAACAGAAATAAGGAGGAAGAGAAGAAGGATGGAGAGGATATAAAGGAGAGAGAATGAGATAACAGAGAACTGAAGAGGAGAAGGAAGAGGAGGAAGGAAGAAAGTGAAGGGGTGATGGAAAGAAGGAAGGAAGGTGTACTATTTAATAACCCGAAAAATAATACATATATAAATTTAAATAAATACACAACAACAATAATACTGACATGACTGAGCCAAACGAAAGCAGGAAGAGATAATTAGACATGTTAAAGAAGGGGGAGAGAGGAGAGGAAGAAATGACTTTATGGAAGGAAGAAAAGTAAAACCAATATAGTGCTTACATTCGTGGTCCTTCAAAGCGGAGGCGGCGGTGGCGTTATCTCACAGCTTATCATTGTTATCTGTAAAGTCGTTTAAATCAAGACACAGGATTTGTTTTTACACGTGCACAGTATCAGATTGCCCCTGTACACTCTGGTGATCTCATCGATATACCAAGTTGATCATCTTGTACACTTCCCTGATGGCTTACAATGCAACATGCAATCCAGACGCTTAAAATCAGGTGCTATGTGGTGGTAGTAGTAGCTTGCCTCACCCATGCGTCCTGGGTTCTGTTCTCTGTTGGGGTTATGAGGACGGTGTTATCCAGTATAGGTGTTCCGAGTACCACAGCAAAGTTCTCCTTGCAGTAACCCTTGAGCTATGGTTGATGAAGAACAATATGAAACAATAGAAAGGTTATTTTTAAACAAACCAACAACTTCCTTCACCTCATCTAACAGGTAAACAAACTACTGAGAGCTTTGGGAATATAATTAAATCTCAGTCACTGTATTTTATTTTGTTTAGAAAGTAATATTTAAGAATTTTATTTTACGAGAAGTTTAATCAACACTAAGATTCTCGACCCCATATATTTATTTACACAATTAGTCACCCTTAACCTAACCTAACCCAACCTAACCTACCCAACCTAACCTATCTTTATTAATCTGTGTGTGTGTGTGTGTGTTTATCCTTGTAGTTGGTAGGATGTGAACAGTGTGTGCACAAAAACGATTCATTCCAAGGTTTATATACTATGTGTGTGTACGTATGCTTGTGTGTGTGTTATGTATGCGTTATGTGTAAAAAAGTTGTGTATGATATGTCTGTCTTCCCCAACGCCTGTCTATCTGTATGTATGATGTATGCGTGTATATGTCAAAAGAGGTGGAAAAAGTGTGACACAACTCAGCGGTGCTTGGGAACTGATTCACTGTCACCCAACGGAAGCTTACACCATCACCTCCCCCATGACACACACTTCCTCATATGACTGATACATATGTGTTTACCCTCCCCCCCCTTCCTCCACCCTCCCTCCATCTACTCCCTCCTTCCTCCCACCTCCCCTCCATGTGTCTACCTCCTTCCCACTCCCCCTCCAATTCACCCTCCTCCCTCCACCTCCCATGTGTTAAACCTCCTTCCTCCTCCCTCCCCCTCCATGTATCTACCTCCTCCTTCCTCCCCTCCTCCCCTCCCTCCTCCTCCCCCCACCCTCCATGTGTCTCCACCCTCCCATTACTCCACCTCCTTCCACACCACCTCCATGCGTCCACCCTCCTTCCTCCCTCCTCCTCCTCCACTACCTCCTCCCATCACCCCCTCCTCCATGTATCTACCCTCCTTCCCTCCACCCTCCCTCCATGTGTCCACCCTCCCTCCCTCCCCCCTCCCTCCACCCACCCCCTCCATGTGTCCACCCCTCCCTCCTCCTCCTTCCTCCACCTCCCTCTTCCATGCCCACCTCTCTCCTCCACCCTCCCCTCCATCCTTCTGTACTCCACCCTCCTCCTCCTCCTCCCTCCTTCCTCCACCCTCCCTCCATGTATCTACCCTCCCTCCTCCCTCCCCACCCTCCCTCCATGTGTCCACCCTCCTCTCACCCTCCCCTCCATGTGTCCACCCTCCTTCCCCTCCACCCCCTCCATCCACCCTCTCCCCCTCCACCTCCCTCCATGCCCACCCTCCTCCTCCTCCTCCTCCTCCCTCCACCCCTCCCTCCACCCCTCCCTCCATGGCTCCAACCCTCCTCCTCCCTCCTCCCCTCCTCCACCCTCCATAGGCCTACCCCACCTCCTCCTCCCTCCCCCCCACCCTCCTCCATGTGCTACACTCTCCACCCTCCATAACCATCCTCCTCCCCTCCTCCCTCCCCCTCCATCCCACCCCTCCCTCCTCCACACCTCCTTCCCTCCCCCCCCTCCCTCCAGCGCCACCCTCCCTCCCCCTCCCTCCATGTAGCCATCCTTCCTCCCTCCACCCCCATGTGTCTCACCCCTCCTCCCCCCTCCC